CCTATACTGGACCCAACTACTGCTTGAAGATCGTCCTCTAGTTCTAATATCTCCCTAGCGACTCCTGCTCCCAATGCATCTCGTCCTAGTCATCGTCGGAGGGATGGGTCATGGTAGTGTTCCATCAAGGTTTGGTGGATGATACTGATAAAGTGGGGGTCTTGTTCATAAGGGCAGTTGCGAAGAGGGCATTGCGAAGAGGTGAAGGTGCACAAATCGTTCCTGGGGTGAGACATGGTATGTGTCGCTGGTTGGGTGAGTCCTGCTAGAGACGGTTCCGACTCTTATATTCTTGAAGCATGCTCTTGGCGTTCTCAAGCACATGCTCGGGTTCCCATGAATTTTCGGCCGACGGGTATCCTTTCCATTTGACAAGGTACTTGCGGCGTGAGGTGCTCCCACGATGGGCTAAGATGGCCTCAACTTCGTACTCTTCTTCGCCTTCGATATCATCCGGTGGAGGTCGGAGATAGTTCGGCCCGTGAGTGGAGTTCTCTCGATAACGTGAAAGAAGCGAGGGATGAAACATGGGGTGAATCTTCCAGGATTTGGGTAAGTCTAGACGGTACGAGAGTGGGCCTAGAACTTCCTTGATCTTGAATGGTCCTTCGCGTTTTGGGGCGATCTTCCTGGATGGGTAATTGATCCGTAGGTTCTTGCCTTCTAGCCAAACCTTCTCTCCAACTTCGAATGGGGTGAATCCTTGTCGGCTTCTATCGATCATCTTCTGTTGCGCCAATTCATGCATGGCAGCCGCTTCTTCCCTTGCAGCTTGTAATCATTTAAGCCTTTCATCTACTGATGGTAGCTCCATATTGATTGTGACTGCGGGTATTGCTCGTGGATGATAACCCATCATGAGGTAGAAAGGCGATTCATTCCTGGCTGAATGGGATTGCTGATTGTGAGCAAATTCTGCATCACAGAGTACTTCAGCCCATCCATGGGGATTGTTGGCGCAGAATATCCGCAGATAGGTTTCCAGTTCTTGAGTGACCCTCTCAGTTTCGCCATCGGTTTGAGGGTGATAAGCGGTGCTGAGCTTGGATTTGATGCCTAGCAGCTTGCATGTTTCTTGGAATACCTTTGATGCGAATAGAGGTCCTCTATCGGATATGATGGTATCAGGTAATCCGAATCGTCTGTAGACATTCTCATGGAAAATTTAAGCAGTCTTCTCTGCATCAATTGTCTTGTGACATGGCACCAAAATTACCCCCTTCGTTAGGGCGTGGTCTACCATGATTGAGTCAAAACCCTTGGATGGTGGAAGATCGGTTATGAAGTCAGTCGAGGTGACAGAAAATGGATGTGTTCGTGTTGGGGCAGGGATGGGGTTCAATGCAGGTGCCGAAGGGTGAGTGTTCACTTTGTTTTGTTGACAGGTAGCACAACCATCAACATAATTGCGGATAAAGATGAACATTCCTGGCTACCAATAGTCTCTTCGAACCAATTCCAGAGTCTTGAAGCGTCCTGGGTGTCCAGCAGCAAGAGACTCATGGTACTGAGACACGATTTCTCTGCGTAGATCTTGATTGGCTGGTATGTAGATGTGTCCTTTGAATTTTACAAGCCCTTCTTCAAGTTTCCAATCATTGAGTGAGGATCGGAGAGGAAGGGGTGATCCTGTCTTCAAAGCTTGCAGAGCATCGCGTACCACAGAGTCAATCTCAGTTGCCTTAACCATTTGATCATGTCGGTCTATGTCAATGGCTTGGATTTCCAATGGCCTGTCTGTCAAGGTACTTTGTTCTTGTCCATCTAGGCATGGCCTTTTGTCAATCGGAATCCAGTCATTGTTGATCGTTGGTTCATGTGCCCCCTTGTTTGTGATCCTTTCTGCTTCCATGATGTTGGGTGGGTGAATGTCACCTTGGAGGTCAGGGTTGTCGATCCATACAATCGTGGGGTCATCGTGAGAGATCAATATTGGATCAACCTTTGATTCAGTTGGACCTTCATTTTCCTTTGTCATGGATATGTTTTCCGTTGGGTCATCCTTGAATTCCACTGGGCTTGGTTCAGACGGTGTCATTGGTATATCCTGCTTTGTTTGAATCTCCAATTCCCTCTCCAATTTAGCCATAGAAGGTTTGCTCATACGTTCGTCCTGATCTGGAGTGGCATCTCTATGGAACATTTGCTCTGGCAATAGGACCATCTGGTCATTGTCTTCCTCGTCAGGGCATAGATCTGGTCATCTTCAGAGCGCATCTGATTGCACCATTTGTGGCCAGGAATATGTTTCAAGATCAGATCAAACTTGGACAAATATAGTGACCACCGAGCTTGTCGTCTTGTTAGGCGTTGTGCAGATCGATAGTACTGCAAGTAGACTGTGACTGGATGGGCTGCGCCCTTGAAGTGGTAGTCCCAATTCTGTAGTCCTCGGATGATTGCCAGAAGCTCCCTATTGTAGATTTCATAGTTTCGTTGAGCCTTGTCAAATGCCTGTGAAATATATCCGCATGGGTGCCAGTCTCCATTTACATCCTGTTGGCGTAGAACTGCCCCTGATGCAAACTTGGATGCATCAGTTTCCAGAATGAATGGTTTGGATTTGTCCGGCATCATCAGCACTGGTTCTTCCAGGAACTTCTGCTTCAAGGTTTCAAATGCCGTTTGACATTCAGCCGTCCAGTCCCAAGGATGATCCTTCTTGGTGAGCTCGTTCAATGGTCGAGAGATGTTGGCAAAGTGTGGAATAAACCGTCGGTAGAAGTTGCAGAATCCTAAGAATGACCGGACGTCCTTCAATTTCCTAGGGACAGGCCAGCCTGCTATTCCTTTCAATTTGACTGGATCCATGCCCAAGTGGTTTTCCTTGACGATCAGTCCAAGGTATTCCACTTCTGGTTGACAAAATAGGCATTTCTCCAATTTGAGGAATAGGTCGTTTTCCCTTAATCGTGCCAAGACCCATTTTGTCCTTTCCGTATCTTCTTCAGCTGTCTTGGAGAAGATAAGGAAGTCGTCCATGTATATGATGAGCTATCCTTCGTCAATCATGTCTTTGAATAGTTTGTCCATCATTGACTGGAATGTTGCCGGTGAGTTGCATAGGCCAAAGAACATGACAGTTGGTTCAAACAATCCTCGATTGGTTTTGAATGCTGCTTTCCATTCGTCACCTTCCTTGATACGGACATTATTGTAGCCTTTGCGGACATCCAATTTGGTGAAAACCTTTGCCCCTTGTAGCTTGTCCAGGATTTCACTAATCAGGGGAATTGGATAGGCATTCTTGACTGTCCATTCGTTGAGATACCGGTAATCTTGGCAAGGCCGTACATCCCCATCCTTCTTGCCTACGAAGAAGAACGGTGATGCCATAGGGGATTTGGATGGTCGGATATAGCCTTTTGACAAGTTTTCCTTCAAGAATTCGTCAAGTTTTTCTTGCTCCAATGGTGACATAGGGTAGAGCTTCTGATTCTTTGGAACGAATCCTTCTTTGAGGTCTATTGCATGATCATAAGGCCGTCATTCAGGGAATCGTTCTGAGCTTTTCGTGTCAAAGACATCTGCAAATTCCTTGTACCATTCAGGTAATTCTGCTTTGCTTTTGGCTTCCTTCTCAGCTTCTTGAGCCATCCGCATTGCAGGGTTAACCTTCTTGCCAGTGTCTGTTTGTCCAGTGATAAACTGTATGAGGAGATCGTCTTCCTCTGCCTTAGTTCAAGCAATTAGGGTGTAGATATCGTCCAATTTGATCTTCCATTTTGGTATACTTTGGAAGATGGGATCATCAACGTGTGCCAGCAGTGGTCCCTTGCAGTATTGAAATTTGATGGAGAATTCCTCATCAGGGATTTCTTCAATGGTTACGTTTAGGATGGATTTTCTCTTTCCAAAGTCAATCCATCCAGTAACCCAGTTAATCTCTGGGTTGTTCTTCTGTAACGAAGGTAGCCCCAAGATAACATCTTCTTTTCCCAGGTCGGTGACGCGAAATTGGACAGAGCGGACTCGATCTCCAATTTTCATCTGTAAGAATGCGGCCTTGGTTATGTGGCCTTGCCTGTTCTTGGTGCGATCAACATTGAAGACTTTGATTGGTCTCGGTATAGGGACCGTCTTCAGCTTGTTCGTCAATCCAAACTTCTGGTTGATGAAGATTCCTCCAGCCCCTGAATCAATAAGGGCTTCTGCAGTTGTTTCAGCGCTTCCCTTTCCACGTGATAGCAAAATATTGATCTTCATTGACTGGTCAACAGTCTTTGCTATGGTTACAGTAGAAAGGTAAGAATGAGACGAGCCTGACGCTGATGCAGGTCGTCTTAGGCAAAATCCTTCTCCGCCATTTCCTCAAGAAGTTTGATCTTGTCATTCTCTTCTAGTTCTGCCATCATTGCTTTGATCTTGGCAACACTGGAGGTTCCTTTGTATGGGTCTTCTTTGACCTCTGTAGTCCGGATGGGTCGCCTCTCTGGTTGCTTTCCCTTGTCCTGCTTGTGATCGGCAGCCCTGTGGCCAGTCTGACCACAGGTGAAGCATCGCCCTTCCTTCATGTATTTCTCCCTTTCACTGGTTGATAGGCA